GATGCGTCGCAGGCGCAGCGGCTGTGCCTTGTGCGCTGCTGATAAGGCAGCCCCGCTGCCAGCTCTTCCTTGCCTTGTATGGAATTGCAGGGCACCATATAGTACGTCTTGCTGACATTCGGGTTGTCGGGGTCAGGGTTCGAATCCCCTAACCGTCCTACATGGTTTTTTTCTTTTTCCTGCTTGATGACATTCGGGTTGTCGAGGTCAGGCTTCGAATCCCCTAACCGTCCTATCGACTCTTTTTCTTTTTCCATGCTTGGGCTTGCTGTCGATGCACATTGTCAATGCAATGGCAGCTGGGGGATTTGCAGGCACGATTGGCGGCTTGCAGCTACTGCACAAGGCGTGTTGTACAAGGTCGAAGGCATCTGCGCAAACTTCAAGCTTGGCTCTCCTGGCAGGTGCAGTGGAATTATACATTCTGAGCTTCAAGCGAGTGCCATGTTTTGCAAACATGTAGCCAAAGAAGAACTGTCTGCTGACTGTCTGCTGGGGCACTTTACTGCTGCATGAACTGATCACAGAGTGCTTGCAGTTCTCCATCAGCTGGTGGTGTACGGTGCTTCAACTTGTGCACCATAGCTCTGATGTTATCAAACAGAAGCACTTGTGCAGGCGCAGCTTTGTCGCCTCTGCATTTGAATGTCGACCTGAGTGCATGCACGACTGAGAATGCACCATGGCACTACACTGCAAGCGCGTCGTACACTTGAAGTGGCGTGCGGAATCTTGTAGCCTGTCAACACAAGCTACCTTGAAGTTCACCGCTTTTCAGAACACACTAAGCTGTTCAATGGCATGCCTGCACGTCGCTGATGCGCCCCTTCTTTGTTTCCACCCCCCACAGGCCTGCATGCATTTACCAGGCTCACCATTGGTGGCCCTCCAGGGTAGGGTAGGGGGGGCAACACAGTGGCCCCTGGGGCAGCCGCGGCCCGGGGTGAAACTGGTCGGGGTTGCATTGCTGCCAGCAGTGGCATCAGCAGCGCCCGCTCAACCAATGGCCTGCTGCGGGTAACATACAGCGCAAAATGAGGCACGACTCTGTGTATGCTTTGACAAATGGACGAAGTGTGATGATAAGAAGGCTGCCATCATCCAGCCTACCAACCCCTTTGTCTGACGATGTGCATTGTTGATCGATCAAGTTTCATGGTCAAGAACGCGTCGTCATGAGGGGGAAAACGTCTGTAACGCTTCAGAAATGCGACTACCCGGGCAACATGACTATATAGCGGCTTGCAAAACGATACCACTACTTGCTAAGATCAGAGCGTGATGGCTCCATCTGGCATTGAGTTTATCGGTATGCGCAATCACATGGAGTCCCTGCCAGCACTGTTGGCTGTCGCTCGATCGGCACTGTAAAATGCACAAGATGCCGAGATGGGCGTACGTCACCTGTTACAGGAGAAACTGTCCACATTTGGCTCCACTCTCGCTGCCAGAAGCGTCAAATACTAGTCTGTAACCTGTGAGAGCCAGCTCTCGACCTGGCAGTGCTTCTATGAGTCGGTAGCATGCACTTCTGCATGTCGTCAGAGCCTAGAATTCGGTGTTTCAGTCAGACATCGTGGGCGCTCGTACGTATACTCCTCCTCACAAAAAAAAGCACGCTGATGTTCAACTTCAAGTCACGCGCCAAAGGAAGAGCGCGAGAGGTTTGTGGCCTGAGCCTGCCAGCGGGGTGGCGTTCTCTTTCAGCAGGTGTGCCGCAGCTTCGCCGCCTGCGCCACGTCCACCCCGACTTTGTTCGCGGCGACAGGGGTGCTGGACGCCTCCAGCATCGAGGCCGCTCCTCATCGGCAAAACAGCTACCCCCGCCGAGCTGAAGCAACTGGAGAAGCGCGCGCCGCTGAGGAGCACCGCTTCGGCGCCACACTGGATGACACCACCATCACGATACAACGCGCAACATGTCGTGTCACCCTCACGAGTGCAGCACCAGGCAGGGCATGGCAGCGGGCCTGCGCATGCATCAACAAGCACGCCGTGCCTACGCGTACCGCTTTCTGGCAGTGCAGTGCCCAGACATGGAGCCAGCCAAGCTGACGGCCACCAGCGGCCTCAGAAAATACACCATCGTGCGCATGCTGTAAGCCTTCGCGGAGCGTCAGAGGCCGCCACAATCGTCAGCACCGCCATTGACAAGTCAACAGAGTGCCCTGAGGGGGTCCAGCAGCAGATGCACTTGGCGTAGCAGCAGCAACGGCAGCAGCAGAAACGCCGCGCTGACACCGACGAGCCTGCCAACACCCTCGGGGCAGTGCCAGGTGCCTGAGCTCGCAGGCTGTGGTTATGTTCAAGTTTTGGTTCGTACGCGTACGATGTCGGCACCGGCGCCATGGGCGGGCACGAGGAGCGGCAGCTGTTGAGCCCGCAAGCCCTGCAGACCTTCATCTTCTCATGGTCCGTCATGGCCAGCCTCAGCACCGCCTACCACGACCTCAGGCGGCGCGGCAGGCTGAGCTCGCTGCCGTCGGCGCCCGGGAGGAGGTGATCATTAGTGGTTCCGCAGCAGCTGCAGCAGCTGCTGCAGAGGGGCCCAACAGCGGTGGCAGCAGCGGCGGTGGAACAGCTCATCGGCGGCGGGGGGAGCAGCGCGAGACAGTGCCATGGCTGCAAGGGAGAGACAGCGGCAGCGGCTGCCGCAGCATTGGATGACCAGCAGCAGCAGCGGCGGCGGCGGCGGCGGCGGCGCCGCGCGCAGGGGCTGGCAGCGCAGGTGCTGACGAGGACGACTTCAGCGAAGAGCTGCCCTACAACCCCGTGGCCGCAGAACGCAAAAGCCGCGCGTTCTTCCACTTCGTGGCATTCGAGCTGGTGGCGCGGGCCGCGCGCCGCGCCGCCGCCGGCCAACACTGGCGCGCCCCCAAAACCCCCTGCAGCTGCTGCGCGACGCGCTGCACTTGCGCATCATGAAGGACGTGATGTGCGCCCGCATCAAGAAGACGGGCGCTGACGGCAACTCGCCAACCACGCTGCTGCTTCGCAAGCTGACCCAGCGCGACAGCCTGCGTGCCATGCGACTGGTGCCCGCCGAGACTCAAGTCCTGATGTGGACGCTGGCCAACCCCAATGCAGCTTCTTCGAGGGGGGCCAGGTGCGCGCGGCGCTCTGGCGCTGCTAGAGATGCGTCGCTTTACGCTGCAGTGCATCAGTTGCCCGACTGCCTCGGCTGGCCAGTGACTGACATGCACAAGGTCAGTTACGCCACTGGGCACGGGGGGGCTTCTGGCTCAAGGGGCGCGGGTGCGCGGTACCTGTGCTGCAGGTACTGGCGCTTTCCGTTCGCGTTCGCGCCTCAGCTCAAGTGACAGCGGCTGTCCAAGCAGCTCGCGGAAGAATCGCGCAAGACCTGCGTCACGTTGCGCCTGCGCTCGCCCTGCCTCGCCACAGCTTTCCTCGCAGCAACGGGGTATGGCGGGTCGCGCGCGGACGCCAGCTGGTGCCCCCGGCGCGCCATGCGGGCGAAGCTGGGCGACGTAATCTACGGAGTCAACATGGCCTCCCTCGCGCGCTTTCTGCTCAGCCACATCAGCGGCGACGGCTCCACCAACCAGACCCTCACCGGAACGCCACAACTACAGTTCCTGACGACGAATCGCGTCATGAATGTGATGGTGCGGCAGCTGCTGAGCGCCATCGTCGCGGCTTCAGGTTACACAAGGTGTGTGGGGTAGGTGCTCGCCAGCGGCTGTCTGCAACATGTATGCCGTGACAATGGCGCTCAGCAGCTGCCGCACCATCACGCGATGATCATCATGACGCAATTCATGGTCAGGAACTGTAGCTGTGGCGTGCTGGTGCGGCTCTCAGACTGGTTCCAGTTGGTGGAGCCGTCACCGCTGAGGTGGCTGAGCAGAAAGCGCGCGGGGGAGGCCATGTCGACGCCGCAAAGGTGCCGGTAGGCGAGGCTGCCAGTGAGCTGGCCATGGCAGACCCAGAAAGACGAAGCTGCACTGGCGCACGTGCGGGCTCAGCAGCTGCAGCTCCTCATGCCCCCATGTGTGCGCGCCCGGTGCTCGCATGTCCTTGCGCGCCTGGCCCATGAGGGCCTTGTGCAGATCCCCGCACGTCTTGCCGACGGCCGTGTTGCATGCGGCCCCCTGCAGGTGTGCGCACTGCAGGCTCTCGGTGACGAGATGTATGTGGTCATGGGCTGCCGCGTGGAAGCAGGTGCCGCAGCTGAGGCACCTGACACTGGTGGCCGGGGCGTCGGCGAGCATGTCAGTGTCGGTGTGGCGCTCCTGCTGCTGCTATGGCGCAAAGCAGATCTGCGGCCGGACCCCCTCAGCAGCAGTGCCACAAATCTCACCCCAGGGTGCAGTTGCTGCCCCAGAGGCCGCTGTGATGCCCCCCCTCCGCTACCCTGGAGGGCCACCGATGGTGAGCCTAACGATGCATGCAGGCCTGTGGGGGGTGAGAAGAAGGTGTGCATCCGTGCAGGCAAGGTAGCTTTTGACACACACACAGGCTACATGATTCCGCACGCCTCTTCAAGTGTACGACGCGTTTGCAGTGTAGTGCCATCGTGCATTGTCAGCCATGCATGCACTTAGGTCGACATTCAAATGCAGAGGCGACAAAGCTGCGCCTGCACAAGTGGTTCTGTTTGATAACATCAGAGCTATAGTAGGCAAGTTGAAGCACCTTTCACCGCCAGCTGATGGACAACTGCAAGCACTCTGTGATCAGTTCACGCAGCAGTAAAATGGCCTAGCAGACGGTCAGCAGCCAGTTCTTCTTTGGCTGCAACTGCCTGCTAGTAGTGCAAAACATGGCACTCTTGAAGCGGAGAATGCACGCATAGAAGATAGTTTCACTGCACCTGGTAGGAGAGCCAAGCTTGAAGTTTGTGCAGATGCCTTTGACTTTGTGTAACACGCCTTGTGCAGTAGCTGCAAGCCGCCAATTGTGCCTGCGAATGCCCAGCTGCCATCCCATTGACAGTGCGCAAGCCCTCACTTGGCAGAAAAAAGAGGAACCAAAAACGTGGACGGTTAGGGGATTCGAACCCCTGACCCCGACAACCCGAATGTCAGATCCTAACCGCTAGACCAAACCGTCTCGTGTTGATGCTGAGGATGTTTTTCAAAAGCTATAGCACACAAAGCGAGTTCTGGGTGCCAAACTCCCACAACACTTACATGTAGCACACAGCTGCAGCTGCATACTGCATCGTGTGGCCGGCCTTCCTGGGCTGCTGCAACCGACAGCACATGAACGCACACCACCTTGTGCGCTTCGGCCACGAGGTGCAACGGCACCTGAGTGCACAGCACCCCCGAGCGCTGCCGCTCGCTGCAGCGCGCTGTAGTGCGGCACGCTGTTGAACACTGCCCGTGCACCAGTGTTGCGCTCTCGGTGCTGGGTGCACCGCACTTCTGCATGCTGCCGCGCGCCACAGCTAGCAAGGCGCCATGGTGCACGGCAGCGCGCTGGTGCGCGGCAGCGCGCTGCGGTGTACCATGCAGCAGCGCGCTGCCATGCACCATGGCGCCTTGCGTTCAGATGGCGAAGCACCTGAGTGCACAGCACCGTAGTCTAGTGACCACCGCTGCCTCGATGTGCGCTAACTTGAGGAACCCGAGAAGCACACGTGACAGAGTCCAGCGGGCAGAGCAGGTGGATACAGCTGATGTGGAGGGATGGTTCACTACTTCCAAGGACTGTGTTGATCATCTTAGCTGTCTCTGGCCACAGCAATGAAAAGTGAGCAATGAGATACCAAACACGTTGATGCAAGCCAGGAGCACAAGGACACATGAGTGGTGATGTCTTGCCCTACCCACAACATTTCGAATACACAGATTATAATCATGTCGCCGAATACCAACAGTTGCTGTAATAGGTAAAGCCCACTGCCAAACGTCTGCACGCAGTTGACGCCGCAGCATGTGAGGCGGACAGCAACATGAAGCGGCTCAATGGAGGTCTGGAATCCACGCCTCTGATATTGACATTGTGAACTGGAACTGGGACGAGGGCGGCTCACGAAAGGCTCAGCACAGGGGTAGTAGCACCGAGCGCCGGCCAGGTACTGAACACATAGGGCACAATAGCACATGAAAACCAACACTTGCAGGCGCAAGGGACCCCGTTATGTCAGGTCCACATCGCCGGCGGAGCCCGCGCCCCCGCCCCCCTCGATGAGCCGCTTGATGGTGACAAGAGTCGTCGTCTTCCACGGGTCCAGCGCCGTGACCTGGTCGTACTCGTACGACGCGGTCGCGAAGGCGTCGCCGTCGTACGTCTCCATCGCGGCGCACAGGTCCTCCGCGAACTTGCACTCGCGCGACGCGCCGAACGTGAAGTCCACGGACTTGAACTCGTCGAGCTTGAGGCGCGCGGCGACGCTGTCGTTCGCCGCCATCAGGCACAGGACGGCCTGCTGGAAGTAGCCCTTGGCGTTCATCTGCAGCAGGCGCGTGCTGGTGCAGCTGCGGCCCAGGTCCTCGAAGATCTTTGCGGCGCCCATGTAGTCCGGCGGCGAGATGAACTTGCTGCTGATCGTCGCCACCTGCGTGAAATGTGCAGAGCCATGTGCATGCTGTCAACTCATGTGTCTGTGTATGCGAGTCACTTGTACAACACAGTTGTGTGCACGTCAGCAATGCTGAGCACCACGCAGAGCACCAGCAGTTGATGGAAGACTGTCATGGCGGGCGATGCATCAGTGCAACACTTGTGTTCTAGGGCAGTGCCATCATCGTGCTGGCTACCCTTAGGGTTTGGCACAGCACAGCACAGACAACGACAAGGTTACGTGCAGCATTCTCCATCAATGTGTTTGTTAAAAATGAGTGAGAATAGAGTTGCTGGCACTATCAAGCAAGCTTTGCTACTGAACAGCAGTTGTGTGCAGCCGTTTGGGCACACGCGCTGCGCAACTGTAGTCTGCCTTTCCCTTGCTCTCAGGATGCAATAAGAAATGTCACACTGCATCTGCCGCAATGAGAGCCCGAGTGTCAGCTACATCAACTTCAACTTCACATGACGAAAAACACTTGGGGCAATGGACGGCACGTGAGAAGCGCACGTTGCAAACAGTATCTGCAGACATTCTACATGTAGCACCGCCAGCGTATCACAGCCATACGGACACGTATGATCCACAGCTGACAGTCGGTGGACACAGTCTAGCAGGAGCTGCATTGCACTTGCAGCACAAGATCATGAGGTGTCATGAGTTACACGCCACTATGCAACTCACAAATCTCAGGTTCGTCCAGCATCCGCTGTAGTCTATTTCAACAGCATTATTTGGCCAAGGGCCATTCATGTCAAAAGAGCGGTAACAGCAACTTCAATCAGATGCTTCAGGGTTCTGGCAGCACTGCATGATGAAGCAGGTAGCAGCAGAGGAAACTGCCGTGACCATGTGCTGCAGCAGGCAATACATCACTCCATGTCAGTGTTTTGTTGCTGCTACAGTGGCCAACGTGCTTGCCCTCATCCGCGGGCAATACAATGCTGACCAAAACAACACATATTGCCCAGATGGCAGTGATGTATGAACTACACAGCGTGCGAGATAACAAAGGTCACAATCATCGCCATTCTGTGCGGAGCCAGCGACACTTGCCATCGTTCTGTTAGATAGTATTGGTAGCAAAAGTGAGTGCGTTGTGTTAATGACTCATGCATGCGGAAGTGCCCCGTGCATTCGATGTAGCTCACCAGAACAGGGGCTGCATGCTTGCAGTGTTATGCGTTTGCATACGGGTTAAACGCACTGTTGCTGCACCTACACCACCAACATCATTTCCATGCGCAACTGCTGCGAACCAACACGTCCTGGCTGCTTCGTGTTCATGTGAAGCCGATGATACTCGTCTTATACAATTCGACACTGGTGCGTACATGAGGTGCGTGCTACGTGAAGTTTATGAATCTTCACTTCGTATAGTGCCCTTATGGCACATCAATACCTCTGTGTCCCTGGATTACAACGATGTGAAGCGGTCCCCAGTGACTTACGCAAGACGCTGGTGCCTCTTGCGATTCACTCTCAATGGAGCAGCACAGTGCTCATCCTTAGGCGCTGTGTTTGCAGTGGACCAAAGAAGCAGATTGGTGTCTGGGATACATTGGTGGATGTCATGATTCTTGCTGGCAGATTGTACAACCTCATTTCTCACTGCGGATGGAGCAGTGAGCTCGACATTGTGGGAGTCGGTTAGGGGGCCACTAGCCTAGCTAATGCAATTTTCCCTGGTTGCAAACACCAAATGTCCAATAAGATATGTGTATGTTTCTCTGCTCTGCGCGCACCTTTATCAGACACGCGTTTGCTGATTGCGTGGAGTTCTCCCCATTGAAGTAGTCTGCTGCCATCTGGAAGCAATCTCTTGCATCTGGGTAATTGGCATCCGCTTCGTACACCTCCCCAACGTCCTTGAGCAGCTTCGCCGCCTGCGAAAATCTCCCCATCTCCGTGTAGTGCGTTATTGCGCTGCGCATCGCCCCAATTGACTCCGCTGGATACGATTCCTTGTAGCACTTCCCGGCTTCCATGAATGCGCTGGCTGCCTCGTGTGCACTGGCGCACTTCTCATGCATGGAGGCCACACGCATGTATGTGTCCCCCGCCTCCTTCAGCTTGCGCGCCACTTTGAAGCAGTTGGCTGCCTTTGCGAACTTCTCCGCTGCGTCCTCGTACTTCTGTGGGCTCAGGAACCGAGCAGAAAAAACAGGTTGGTAAACGACTTGCCAACAAAAAGCACATCACGTGACGGTTGGCGCCATGAATTCTGGCTGGCTCGGAGCAAAAGCAAGAAGCGCAGCATATTGTGTGTAGGTGCTTCATGAAGGAGCCGTATTCACCTGTGTATTGCTGCCCAACAGTGAGCCGAAGAGCGATTTCTTGTTGAGGACCTTCTCCCCTTCTTCCAACAAGGCCCTAGCTTTGTTTTCCTGGTCTCCAAATGCCGCCATGTTATAACTCTGGAGAGGCCTTACTGCCGGCCCAGCGCAGCGTTGTGTGTTCAGCGCAAAAAAGCGTTCCAAAAAGTTTCCAAGCATCGCGGCTCAACGCGCCTGCTAGCGCCTATACCCGGACAGCAACTGTCAATCCGATCGGAGCAGCGCCGTCGCGGGGGGCCAAAGAGCAGCAGGCCTCTCAACTGTAGCTATATTTTACAGTGTTGCCGTACCACCGTTGCATCAGCACAGCAACGAGGTGTGAGCAGGTCTAACAGCAGCAGAGAACTGTTCTTGGATACACACCCGAGGGTCAGCAAGCATGCGTTTGTTTGGCGCAAAGAAGGTCGATCCGCAGGAGCAGGCCAAGGAATGGAACAGGACTATGAACAGGGAGATTCGCACAATAGAGCGGCAAATCAAGTCCATGGACAACGAGGAGGCCAAGCTTGTGAGGGACATCAAAAAGCTGGCCAAAGAAGGGAGCAGAAACGAGAGAGCAGTGCGCGTACTGGCGAGGCAGATGGTCACACTGCGCCAGACCAAAACGCGCATGTACGAGGGCAAGGTGCAGATCCACAGCGTCCAGATGCAGCTGAAGAATCAGCTGGCGCTGGTGAAGGTGACAGGGTGTTTGAGCAAGAGCACCGAGGTGATGCAGATGATGGGCAAGCTTGTGAGCATACCGGAGCTGCAGGCGACTATGACAGACCTGGCGCGGGAGATGGAGAGGGCTGGGCTGACGGAGGAGATATTGGGTGATGCCATGGAAGATGTGAGTGCTCAGCTCTCGCTGCCACGCTGCTTTCAGTCAGCTGCGTGCGAGCCAGAGGCCATTGAGTAGTTTGGTGCTTGCAAGGACTTATGTATGAGTGTACGTGTCTTCCAGCAATTTACCAATTTTGTTATCCGTGCACGACACACTGTTCATCAGGCCCGTAGCTATGACTGATTGGATTTTTGAGCACGCACTCACCATGGCTGCAACGACTTGAGGCAATCTGAAGTCTGAGATGCTGTTGGGGCATCACACGCACTTCATGACTTGCGCCCGAGCGGCTCAAAATGCTTCAAACCGCAGTATCTACGTTGCTGATGAGTGTCAATTCGTTGAATGTATCCCGCAACACATGAAGATCACAGTC